AACGTTGCAAGGATTAGCAGGGAGAGTCGACCATACTCATAAAGGGAAGTATGGGATTTGTGGGTGGTAGTAACCCTTAATAGAGACTACTGGTATACTCTCGTGTGAAGGAGTGGTCCGATATCATGCTTCTTGAAGTCGATTATTTCCTTAAACTGCAGCACCCTTGACTGGTTGATAATCGTTGCGTACTAGAGAATTGAACATGTGTTCTTTGTAATGGCTGCACTGAGGGTGCGTGATCGTGTGACGAGCTCTCGCCTGTAGACTGCGGCTTAATAGCGTGACATGAAGCATAGATGACTGACCAGGACGAATAACTGACTTGAAGAAACAACTGACTTGGAGGAGTCACTGACTTGGAGTAGTAACTGACAACGTGTCTTAATGCACGCTGCTTAAATATCCACAAGGCAGCTAAGTGATCTGGCAACAATGCTAAGATGTTGCTATGCGGAGACTAGGAAGACTTGTACAACGTTCGAGAATCTAAGCTTTCGATTATTTGAGAATTCAGCGAAAGCAAAGCCTTGGAAAATTCAAAAATTCAATCAACTTTGCTTTATGAAGGATATGCATCCTTGTAGAACGTTCGAGAATGTAAGCTTTCAGCTATTCGAGAATTCTGCTTGTGAAATGTTTACAAACATTGAAGATCTAAAAGGCTTTGAAAATTTCCGAGAACGGAATACCTCGGAAAATGCTCCAATTCCGAACTACCATACAATTCAGTATAACGATAACTTTCTACCTCACGATGTAATATATATCTCTACAGTTTTTAATATTTATTTATAAATTGAATCTGAAATTAATCATTAAGGCAAAAAATTTATGTAATATACTGTCTAGGATCAGACTGAAAACCTTCCGTTGATGGTGGGTGGAGGTGTTGCGAGCAAGTGGAGGAGGCAAATGCAATTATTCAATTCCACACACATTATATATTTTCTTTCCTTTATAAAATACAATAATATAATAATTAGTTAATGGTCATAAAAGCGTATGAATGAAGAGTGTGAGTGAATTATTTTATGAAGTTTCTTCAATTGTGTTACATGCTGATGAGAGTGTGTGTACTCTTAGTAATGTGAGGTGTGACTCCTTCCCTTCAGAGAAGTGTTGCTGTAGTTGCCGGCGCGTGCCAAGGGAGCCAATAAGATGATGCTGTCTTTGCCGCTGATGTGATCCGTTGATGTATATTGTAGTTATAGTTTCGATATTTTACTCTCAGTTATGTTTGCACTAGTGCTTCTTGGATATAAGTTCAAGTTTACTTTAACGAATTCTGATAGTGTAGCGTCACTATTGGTTTGTTAGATAGCTTATTACGTGATGATTACGTACTTGTATAGCTACAGTTAGTGATGACTGTAGTATGAATACTTAAAGATATAATAGTGAGCCTGTCGTGGTGACTGCATAATTATTATTGGCACAGTGGAGCTGCGTGTCAAACGCTGCTCTTAAATATTGTCGTAAGTGCTTGCCACGGCTGTAGCACACCGGTGTCTGTTGCTATGCCGATCTATGTCATGACATCAGTAGGATATAGCCTTGGAAGGTTCATCGGCATTGCTATTCGGAATTGTAATCGCATATTCGAGTTTCCAGCGTAGCGAAATTTCCCGAATTTGCTGACTTGTGTTTATAAACGTATATGTCCGGGAGCTTATACCTCTCCCACTTTTGTATTCCGCTTTTACTGCTTCAATCCCGAACATATACTATATATTTTTATCGTATATAGCAAGCGTAATACTATACTAAATTCAGTATAATAAAATATAATGTGTTTAGAGTTGATTTATCTCATAAAATTGATCCCTATTCATATATATATAGTTTTATGTGATGAATTGAACTTAATTAGAATCATAAAATAATTTGAGAATGTCAATAAAGTTCTATAAATTTAGTTCTATTTATTTCAAATTTGATTAAAATTAGTTTTACAGAATACAAATACATTAGTAATTTTATAATTAAAACTTGTTCGAAAGTTGTAGTGATGTAATTCTTGACTCGAACTGCCAATGCTTCAATAGCTTAGTTTGCCGCCCGCCCTAGCAGACGATTGGGAAGGAGTGAGATGTAGGGGTTGTACAAGAGTCGTGAGAGTTGGTTAATTATATGTTCATTATACAATTTATTACACTATTTACATATGGATGTTGTAGAATCTTCTTGAATCTTATATGAAGATACGATTTCTTGATCGACTTCATATATAGGAGGTGTGACTACACAAGATACCTTGAATTAGTTGGATTGATGAAAATTACACAGGTAAATAATTACTGCACATTTCTGGTTGGAGAGTGTGAGATAATCTTGATGGTTGTCTTATGCCGATTCTGCCGCCGGCTGACAATAATTGAAGAGATAATATGTATTAACGTACTTATAGCGATGTAGTAGTTTAATATCTGATTCAGTGGTGAGAGGGACACGAATGATGTGCAGCGTGACTCCTTTACAAGCATGCATACAACTCCTTAGCATGCACTATTTTTGCTTTCAATTACTAACACTTATTTCTGCGTTGAGTAAATTTTAGACTTGGTTTCCTTGGACAATTAATTTCTATTACTTAACCTTTCCCTAGACTGCTCACTCTAGCTCTTTGTGACTTGTCTTTTCGGAAGAAAGGCACTTGGCTGCCTACGCGGACTGCCTATTCCAATAATACTCCGCGGACAGCCCTTGGCTGCCCACGCGGACTATGTGTTCCTGGTGTCCCCCGCGGACAGCGACTTTTCGCTGCCTTGTTCCCATCTTTAAGGCCTCTTGTCATGAGTAGCCACTCAAGAAGCTTCTGGTCTTAGTTTTCCAATCAGCGCGCGCCGCTTTTCGGCGGCATGATGAATGTGCACGCCCTTTTCCCACTTCATAAGAAATTAGGCTTAGACAATGAGAGTATCGAAGGAGTATCTCTGGCGGCAATGCGTGAAGTGGAAGATTTGCCCCTCTCCGGGACTCATCGTGGTGGGGGTGATTTTTGGTCAAGCGTCTTCGCTTGGCCTATGCAAGCAACAATATTTGTCGTACTTGACAACAATGCATGCGTATACCCTTGTGGCATTGAAGGCACACGTGCGACGCAGAATGTCGAGAGTCGCACGTGCCGAGTTTCGGGTTGCAACGGATTTTAAGAAATGTTTTTCATTCAACTGCTTTGAAATATTTTAATCCTCAAAATATACTCTTGTAAATAAGCTAGCCGGGTTTTGATGGTAGGTCGCAAAGGTCTTCATTGCATTCAAAACAATTACTACTTCTTTAATACGAAAGGCAATAAATGGCTGTGTACGAGTTCACAGATGTACAAACCTTTTCAAGTCTTCTGCAACCTTGGCGAGACTTTCTTAGTTTTTCGTATCCTTTCGATAATTCCCTTTTTATTAGCTGTTGAAGATTTTTCTAGTAAATATAATTCGAGAGATTTTCTTTTCACTCTTGAACAAAACTAAAATCAATATAACTTTTACATTCAGCAGAAGTAATCTGCGTTAAATACAATAAAATAAAAACAATATAATATCAAATTTTAATCTAAGTAGAAAAAGAAATATGTATGAATATATATGATTACTGTTTAGGATTGAAGCACTTTCCAAGATCTTTGGCTCTCGGAATTTTATAATCCTAAATAAATAAAAACATTTGATTTCGAGATTCCTAGAATAGCTAACACTTTCGAACGTCCTACAATGTTTATTTGGTCTCCGCATAGCAGCGCGAGTTGGAATGCGCCTACCTTCCAAAGCTTTGCTTTCCTGGAGTTTTTGAAATTTCTAAAGTTATATTTTCGAACTTCCGCAAGTTAATGTAGTCTCTGCACAGCAATATCTATCCATTGTTACCATCTACCTATACTGTCACGTAGATATATAATCTCAAGCCTCAAGCCTCGCTCTCTCTCATTGAAGACGCCATGGCATGAAACACGGCCTGTCTTAGTACAACCACCATGGATCAGTTCTCCGCTCTCAGCAGAGCCGCCACAGAATAAACATGCCTTCAGCTTCGCGTGCATATTCAACAGGCTTGTAGTTGCTCATTATAATTAAGTTATTCAGCCAGAGTTTACAGCTATAAGCTAGTCAATCAATTACGCTAACGCCATTACAGCCATTACAAGTAATACACGATCAATTATCAAGTGTGCTACAATTTACAAGCAGTCAAGGGTGCTGACTGCATTACAAGAAAGTACAAGGGGATGCCAGTAGTCTTGTTACCAAATAACTATTCATCGCAGGATCAGGCAAGGCAACTGCATCACTGTAAATAACAATAACATTTCATACGGAAGTAACACAAGGCCATCTGAGGCCTTTCCTGTAATACCTCTAGCACAAGGCCGTCGCAGGTCTTCCTCGCCCGTCTTCCACACCACAAGACAGCTTGGAGGAAACCACAATCAAATTACCTTCACGTGGCACTACACGAAGAAGTGTCAAGAGATTTACGACCTCTTATTTCTCAGAGTGATAATTTACTAGCAAGCACACTACGTCAAGAGGATCTGGAGATTAACTACCTCTGCATGTAGTGCATGCTAGCGCTACGTAGCAACCATCACGGAACGGCAAAATATCACCGATTCTCATCGTCACCGTAGAATCATTATATTTTAGTTGTAAAATAAACGAAATACCAAGCACGACAAGCAAACGTGTTAAATAATGAATTCAAGCGCTACCACCTCCACTTGCCCACACTTTTCTTTCGCCAGGCAACTGATGGCCATAATCGAATTCTAAACAATTACTTATATAAAAATAGTGTATATAATTATATATAAATAGTATATATAATTAGTGTATAAGAAATTTTAGTATTCATTTATACTTGCATATAATTTGTCTAATTAAATTATTATGTGTTTAGCAATTACATGGCGAAGATGTGTTTCATATATTCATTATTGCATATAGCATATTTTAAATGATTATATAGCTATATATTTGAAATTTATTTTTGTGTTCTTTCAGTTCGGCTATTACAATTTTTCCTCAAAGAATTGATGGAAAACATGATTATAGAATTTGGAATCAACAATTAATAAGCTACGCTGGATATAAAAATGATGACGGGTCGGTTTATGGCGATGCAGGAAATATTGAATTTACGGACGTATGTAAAATGTAATACATTATATATTATTATTATGTAACATGAAATAAAGTGAATATTAATTATCTTTTATAGATATGTATACAATTAGGGTGGAGAGGAGCGAAAACGTGCTTTGATATATTACCTCTTGTTCTTTCTGCAAATGGGCATGATCCAGATTATTTTGATATTCCAAAGGAACTCGTATTAGAAATTCCTTTATCTCATCCTATGTTAGTAGATGAATTATATTTCATTATTTTATGAATATACATTTCTATAATAATAATTTAATAGATTAATTAGTCAAAATTGTTAAACAATCTTTGGTAGATAAATGTAAACAAATATTTAAAACTATTTCTTAATAGGATAAATTTTATGATACTAAACATCGAATATGTGAAACCTATATATGAAATCTTTTGATTGTGTAATTAATGAATGTAATATTTTAATATTTGTATAAAAATAAAATATTCTTACAACTTCTACAAATCAAACGAATAATAAAAAAATCTTTTATACTTCTACTATCAATTATTTAACAATGTGTTTAATTTAAAAAGAGTAAATGAATGATTAAATTCTTGACAGAAGTATACAGATGCAATTTATACAAATAATCAAAAGATTTAATTATAAAATAAATATGCATATAGCTTTATGAAATGAAAATATTAATTCCATAAAATTTACTTTCAATATTTATAAACTTCTAGGTTAAAATTCATGTGTATTAGTTTTATTATAAAATTAGGACAATTGTTTTACTATCTTTGTGGATATTGATCGCACCAATTATTTAGATAAATAGTCTCTAAAAATTAATTGACAAAATTAACGTATTAAAAGTAACTAAAAATCAAACTATAATAGATGACAAAGGTTTTTATTTCTCATATTATACAATAACTAATTGTCCATAAGAATTAGAATTTTTCTTATTTTTTTCAATACTGACATAAATCATTCCTTTCATCAATATCTCGTTATTGAACGTTAAAGAAATAAATAAATAAACAAATAACGTTAATCGAAAAATTTCTTTACAACGATGGAATCGTGCTATCAAATTAATTCTATACTTATCATATTTGATAAATTTTATTTTAAATTCTATACCGTGAATGATACGTGTTTTTACTACATATACCAAATAATTATTAAATTGAAACATTATTTCTTTATGTCTGAATATCTTTTTGTCAATATCAAATTAAACTAACATGTTTTTTATTGATTTTATAGATTTCCGTGGTTTGAGAATTTGAATCTCAAATGGTATGCAATACCTGCCGTATCTAATATGGTTTTTGATTGTGGTGGCTTAGAATTTACTGCAGCACCATTTAATGGCTGGTATATGAGTACAGAAATAGGTTCCAGAGATTTATGTGATATTAACCGATACAATTTATTAGAGGTACCAAATACTTAATATTTAATATCAATTAAATTCATAAAATCAATTACGTTTAAAATAATGACAGATTTATATTTTTATCTTATAAAATATAGATATATATCTTAGTATAAAAAAGTAGTAAAAATAATTTAAAGATTAGCTATTGTTTCCAGCTTATGAAATTTTAAATATATATAGGTAAGATAGTATAAAATGAAATAATTAAGTAGTTAAATAGATAATCCTATTTTGTGAAGTAATATATATAAATATACATCTAGTGATTAATACAGTTATATTTTAAATTTTGTGTAACATAACAATTTTTTGTATCAGAATGGATTAAAATTAAAAACAATAAAAGTATATTTTATATTTAAAGGTTCCGAAATTACGTTTTATTGGTCTAAAAAGTAAAATAACTATAACATTTAAAAGTAATCTCAAGTTTTATTTTGAATAATAAATAAATGATAAAATCATTTATTTTAATTAATGCCTAACAACACTCGTCGATATAATAATGATTATATAAATTGAACTTATAATAAAATATACTCAGCAGGTCATAAATAATAGTAGATAATTTGTCCGATACTGTTAAAAAATTGTATAAAAAATCGTTATAAATGGCTTTAGCTAATAATATGATCTTATTATTCTTCATATTATTTGTTAAATCTTAAAAACATTTATTAGCTATTTTGTGATAGAAGATATTTGAATTATCTTAAAAATTTTCGTCTACTTTCAGCGTAGCAATTCTAATTAGATTTTCAGACATTGAACTAAAATCATGAAAACAAATGTGAGCAAAAAATATGCAATAAATAAAAATTATCTTTTATGTTTTTTTTTTGTATCTTTCTATAATGTATATAAATCAGCTTGAATGAATCATTTACTATTTAGTAAATATTACAAGAGTAAAAATATATAGCAGTATTAAAAAGCTCAAAAGTAAATACGGCGATAAAGCACATCTAAAAAATATTTCATTATTAAGTATACAAATGTTAAAACCAAAATATGACATCGTATTCATTTTAATGAATAATTTATTAATCTTTATTTTCTATTTTATATTAAATATTTGAAATTTTATAAATAAGTTAGTAGAAAAGTTAAATCATAATTAAATACAGATGATTTTCAATATATATTAATTATCTTTTTTCCTTAAATAGTTATATCAGAATTACAAATGTTTTCAATTTCATAATTAAATATCTTGATATATTTAAATCTAATACATGCCCAGTGAACTCACACATGCTAAATGAATTATGTAGAATTTAATAAAATTCTTATTCCGTTTAATGTAAATTTAACAAGCTTCAAATATATTTGTTAATAGAATACTGTGCAAAATACAACTCGTCGTTCCGACTTGTTTTATCAAGGCCGGTTCGACGGATACAATTTGATGCCGTTGACAACTCAGAGACCACGGGTGTTGTGTGATAGCCATGACAGGTCACAAGTGGAAGGGATATTATAATAATACAATAAAGATATGGCTGAAGTATATGCTATTTATTCTGTTATTTATTAATGACAAGGTTGACTAGTATTACTATTATTACCTGTAGAACTAATTCTTGGATTGAAGTACTGTATTGCGGAGACAACTGTACAATAATCTATGCAGCTTGATTGTTGAATACGAATGGCGAATGACGCGAAGTTTCGTTCCTCGACACTAGCGCCTTTTGAACAAGCACGTGTGTGGTTGAGGTTATGAATGCAGCTTTATGATTGAAAGATATCGAAAAGTGGCGCGATACTGGATTCGTCGACACTTGCGCTGTGTATTGCTTACTTTCATAAGCTTCCGAACTTGAACTAAGGTGAGGGTTGCTAAAAATGAGACGCCCCTGGCAGGCGCGAAACTTGACGACCGGTACTGGAATTTATTCCGCACTGTCGTATTAAGAGTAGCTTCCTCGTCCTTTGTGCTTGTCGCTGTAATACTCTGAATCTCAATATATAT